CACCATCTTGGTTGACCCATCATTAAGACTCTCTGAGGTTATTTCGAGAATCATGCATTTGATCGTTTGTTTTTCCGTACGCACTTACTGCGCGCGCTCAAATGTTTACTCATTTTCTTGTGTTTTTCAACAACAAAAAATTAACAAATTGACATCAGTCTTTTATGTGTCTTTCCTCTTATGGACGATAAAATGGCGTCATCATATTGTCAAAGTAGTGTGGATCCACGAGGCCTAGCAGAGTGGATCCGCATACTATTTAGGCAATGTGTGATGACGAAATTTATTGTTAATAGGAGGACAGACACATAAAAAACTGATGTCAATTTGTTTTTTACGATAACAAAAACGATAAAAATTTCTCATTTTTTTGCGAACAAAACAACCAACGAAAAAGAGCGCGCGTGGCTGGTTGACGTCAGCTTATCTGCATGTCCTAATAACCAATCAGCGCGCGAGGAATTTCTAAGTTAGTGTTAAAAAGAACGTTTCTGCAACAATACACTGAATCAAAAACGGCGACCAATTTGAATAACTATTAGGGCAGTTCTTTATGAGAGAGAGAAAAACTACACATTTTCAAACTTCTTCTGCAGGATTTAATTTCGGTGTAATTTCTACCTTAGTAATCGAAAATTCAAATTTTAGTAAAAGCTGTCACTCAAATTACTGTGGGTGGTGCCCATGGGATGAAAAATCGATGTTTCAATAACCTATTTAAAATACAATATGTCAGTTGTAAGTTTGAACCATGAAAAAAATATGAAGCTTTTATTGTTACTAACATTGTTGGTTGTTATTATTATAACTAAATCACTTGCTTTAACAGCAAAAGACATTTGAGTAGAAATTTACACTTTCACGGCGAAAAAATAATAACATAAATTTCGTCACGGATGTTACAAGGGAATATGCCCCAAAGCATGATTTTTTTAAATTACATTCTAGTACCTGCGTACATTGTAGCATTATTTCGGATTTTCTTTTAATTAGTCCTTATCAACATAACAACACCGCAAGATTTGAAAAAATCTGCTATTTGCATTATAAATTTGCGTTACGGACGTTACACTTTTAACGTTACGGACGTTACACCAACATTGTCCTTGACGTTACAAAGTGTTATTTCTTGACTTTATCATTGTTTTTATTCTAGTTTTGTGAAATTAAGGCAAAAAGTGTCAATACAATTGCTTTTTGAAGCAATGTTCATTAAAAATTATATTATGGTGAGTGATACTTAAAAAGCTATACATATTCATAATAATATCCAATACGTAAAAATTATTCTTTCAAACAAATTTGAAAAGAATTAATCATTCCTTTGATAAATTAAAGAAAGTGCATGTAAACAGATTGCATGAAAATTATTTAATTGGCAGCTCAGCATTATGCTTTTACAATATTATCTTTTGATGTGTTTCAGAGTGTAACGTCCGTAACGAAATTGTGTAACGTCCGCAACGTTACAATAAATTATTTTTCTGCAACTTTAAATCTAACAAATTTAATTTTTCCACCTAATTCGAAAACCTTATTCACCCACCAAAACATTTATGAAAAGCAATAGTTATATTGACAAAACATTTCGCAGGAATCTTTATAAATTGATAGGTGGTAAAAAGTGTTAGGTAATTTCGATGTAACGTCCGTAACGGTGCTTTTAACCCGTGTAGAAAATTTAAATAACAACATCGGAGTTCCATTTTTTGTAGATTCTTTCATTAAGTCATCATAAAGCATCTTGCTAGATAAATAACAAAAACATTGCAAACTCTTCGTATAAAAGGGTTAGTCAAGTTGTTAATTGGAGTCTGAACGTAACGTCCGTAACGAAGAACTGCCCATTATTGTTCTACACTGTCACTGACCAGCCTCTCATACATGTGAAAAAGCTTTTATGATTCCAAGTGAACACGACGCTAGTAAATCGCTAGTCAGTGCAGAACAATAGTTATTCAAATTGGTCGCTATATTATGATTCGGTGTATAGCGCGCCATAATGATAGGGGGAAGTATCCACAAGAAAAAAAGTTCCTAATTGTTTTTAAAAAAACTTTTTCTTTGTTTGTTTTATTTTGTCATTATTTTTGAATTGCAAATTTACTGAAGACATTAGGAACATATTTTATCCCTGATGCACTGCTTGGCTCGCGTCTCAAAAGTTTAAGTAAAGTTTCATGCTTGATGTCTCTTTTGTTTTAAATGTGGTCGTCTTTACATTCTTTAGAAATATCAAATTGATTATCTTGAGCCAAAATACCCTTTCTTTATTTTTAACCGCCTATAATTCTTCATATTTTCTAACATTTCGTAAATTATTGCCTTAGTATTGATCATTATTTTTTTCTTAAAGTTATAAGATTATACATTATATCAAGATCCTTATAGATGTCACTACTTAATATACTTAAGCAAGCACCCTGGTTGAACTAAACAGTTAACAGTGAACTCAAAGCAGCTTYCAGATTACCGTTATACTTCTTTTAGACAGAATGGAAACTGCCTATATTATAAAACTAGCTAATGCATGTGCCCTTTGCTTTTCGAATTGTATCCATATTCATGTGTCTTCTCATGCGCAACAGTTAAACGAACAAATGATACTCTTGGGCGGGAAACAGCTTCATTGTTAGATGTTATGTCACCATGAATCAACCAATTAGAGCGCGCGCATTAAAGGGAAACATCCCAGCCATGGCGAAGGCAGAGGCAAATAATTGCATGCGAGATACTAACAAATCAAGATATTTTGTTATAACCGAGTTCAATAATCGTTTTATCATTCAAAGTTGTTTTTGCTATAAGATACCAAGATAACAAAGGTATCAAGCCGTTACTGCGCATGAGTAGAGTATTAATTGCTGCAAAACGGCTTTNTTGTATCCATATTCATGTGTCTTCTCATGCGCAACAGTTAAACGAACAAATGATACTCTTGGGCGGGAAACAGCTTCATTGTTAGATGTTATGTCACCATGAATCAACCAATTAGAGCGCGCGCATTAAAGGGAAACATCCCAGCCATGGCGAAGGCAGAGGCAAATAATTGCATGCGAGATACTAACAAATCAAGATATTTTGTTATAACCGAGTTCAATAATCGTTTTATCATTCAAAGTTGTTTTTGCTATAAGATACCAAGATAACAAAGGTATCAAGCCGTTACTGCGCATGAGTAGAGTATTAATTGCTGCAAAACGGCTTTGCTTAATAATGCAAATGAGTAGAATATTATTTGTAGGTCTTTRTTTTGCTGTCCTCTTGGCCAATCAGAACGACGAAAAAGAAGATTTGAAAGATAATGCTTTTTATCAAACTCTTTAGATGGACCACTGAGGTACGATAAACCTAATTTTTCAACTGTTTTGGTAGACGGACAGCTGAACAGCATGACTCTTGGTCATCCTGCAGCCGGAATCTCTATGACGGCGTTGCCTAGTAACATACGGATAAATGCTATTACCCAGAGATGCATGCTCTAAGCTGGATGGCTTCTTCTTTTATCTGGTCTGCGTACTTCATCAACTGGCCTATAATTCATAATGACATATATAGTTTGTTATTATCGGTTATTATCGGTTATTATCAGCAGAACAGAGCTGAATAAGCGCTCTTCAAGTGTATTATCATTGCCAATAATGTTTATATGTGTGTGTTGAACACGTTCGTACRTGAACKGTATGAAAGCGGAAAAACAACACAGTAGGGAGGATGGAATACGTTGGAGTATCCACAGGAGGCCTGACATTTGACAAGACGAATCATACATCTTTTGTTCGGTGATGTATGACTTCGSTCCCCACCCCACYCCCCTCATGAATGTTGAAATCATTATTTATGCCAATTAGCTTTCAAAACTCAGAAAATAAGTTCAACTTGACTTTCTTTCCTCCTTTACTACTAATGATAYGACAGAACATGTTACRACATGTAAGGACTGGAGCTTCAAGCTCTTGTCAGYCTTTACTTAACTGACTGTCCGCTTGAAAGAAGTTCATTCAGTACCTTGGTGATCGACAACAGAACAAGATACTTCAGAGTAAAGAAACCACTTGAAGTCGTAGCAGGTAGGTCACAAGTTTTTTTTGAGATTCGTTAAAAAAAGGAATTTTTAAGAAAAAAAAGTTTCGTCACCTTTACTGCTTGAGTTTTAAAATAAAGGTTACACTGAGTACTAAACTCGTTCTCGCATCTATGACTTCGTCTTGCATAGTTGATGAGAGAAGAGCAGCAGGAACTTAACATTTTCACAATAAATTTGTATGCCATTTTTTTCTCCTTTTACTGTTTTTTTTTTCGGCCGTTACGTCTCTTAAACGAACAATTTTATTAAATACTTAATATTAGAGTGGGTGAATTTTTTTTGCTTCCATGTTTTTTAACAGTTTTTCCCTCACGCCTTTTCTAAATCAAATAATGTAATTGTATTTTTAGCTGCATGAAAT